CCATTATGAACATAAATGTCTGGTCAAGTGAAGCAGATTGAGCGTTCCAAGACACAGAATAGAAAATATCCCTTCTAGCCACATCTCAAGGATACCCATATGATCTAAAAGACTCAATTAATCTCTTTGAAGGGAAGGTTCCTTTGAGAGGCGATTCCTGTTGGAAGAGATTCCATGCTGCTGGCAAGAGTTTATGAAACACCTTTTCTTCCAACCATCTCAGACACTGTAATCCGGAGGAGCCAGGTACTGCATCTTAGTTGCTGTCATCATAAACAGTTGTGTGCATTTGCTGGGATAGCCGGCTATGAGAGTCTGTGTTCCATACCTGTGGCAACTGGAACATCATTTTCTATTATGTTCTATTTTGTTCTGACAGACACATGATTAATTAGCACAATCAGCATCTCTCCTTGAAAATGGCCATGGATCAGTGTGTTCCCCTCCATCGTGTAATTGAATCAAGGCCCACACACCTGTTTCCACTTCCTTTAAATAAACACCTGCCCAATAACCAACACAAAGCAATATTAAATCGCAACCTGCCTTCTGCATAAGTACATCTTTCAACCTGACCTAATCAATGCTGAAAGCTAGAAAAACATGGGTTTCAGAGATGACTACTGCCTGATCCATATCTATAATCTAATTGTTTGCAGCTGTAGCCCAGCTAAGGTAGCGTGACAAAGCTGGTTATGGCTATACTGTACAGTGATTCAAAATTTGGCTCTGGTCCAACCTGGGCTTATACTTAGTTTTCTAGTTGGGTGATTATGAGCACTTAACCCCTATAAGCTTGTTTCTCCATTTTTAAAAGGATGATAATAATAATAATAATTACTCCAAGTGCTTGTTTTTATATGTAAATCATGCTTACAATATGTTTAGCATAGCATTTACCACATGGTAAGCAAGTACTAACTTTTTAAAAACCTATAATAATAGAGAATTAGAAAGAATTATGTTGTTTTAGTTTGGATCTTGTTCAAAGGAATAAGTACATGCTGCTGGATTTTTTTTGCATTCATTACAAGTGCAAGTTTTGAACAGAATCTATGCAGCAATTATCTAAGGACTCAAAGTAATTAATAGGACAACTGGGAGCCAAATTTTAAAAAAAAACCTATGGAAATGCATTTCTGCTTTTTCTCCTTTTCCCTTATTCTGGGACAGCTCTTTCTTTCTTTCGCTCTTTCTTTCTTTCTTTCTTTCTTTCTTTCTTTCTTTCTTTCTTTCTTTCTTTCTTTCTTTTCTTTCTGTCTTTTCCTTCCTTCCTATCTTTCTGGCTTGCTTGCATGCTTGTATGTTTGCCTACTTGCTTCTGCTTCTGCTTCTGCTTCTCCTTCTCTTTCTCTTTCTTTTTCTTTTGTAGTACTGGGCATTTAATTTAAATTACCTTCCCAGTCCTTTTTATTCCCAGTGCTGTTCCTCAAAGCAGTCTTCTATATTCAAGGCTTTTAAATACAGAATTAGAACCTTGACTGAGCAAATGAATACAGGAAAGGACCCTACTACTTTGATACAAAAGAGGCCAAAGTGTCCCCACTAAATTTGAAATTAGGTAGTAATTTTACTTTTAACTTCCTTTTCATTTAAATGAAATGACTTCAATATCAAGTTAATTTTTTAAGTTATTTACTTTCTGCAAGTATATTTTGCAATGGTATTCTCTATTTTCAACAATGACTACCGGATTTTTCTGAGGAGTCAATTTAAACTTTGTTAACATATATAAGAACAAGAAGATAGTACAGGGCCTTGAGACTTGATAATAGAACAATAAGACCACCCAAATAATTTTCACAGAGGCTGCAAAACTGATTCTTGCCCTTATTACAGTATGACAATGGGACAGGTGGTAGTAGGCTATGGGGTTGCCAGGATAGGTTCGAGGATTTTTTTTTTTAAATGTGGCAGAAGTCATCTCTTTGTGTATTCTAGAATTTAGTTGACTGCAGTAGTTGGATGGGCTAAGCACAGTCCATGTTTCTCAAATATTTCTAAGAAACAAATGTTTTAAAGGAAATTTTCTACTAAAGTTCAACATAGAATATGGACAGAAGCAAGGCTATTCTGACTGAGTTAGGCTCATCAGTGTTCCCCAAGGCTTACCAAACCAGAAAGATAAATCATCAAATTAGCACGTCAACTCAATACTTACTAGTTGATAGAAGTCAGACAAAAATTTATAGCTTTTATGTGTGTATGTGTGCACATGTGTGTGTTACAAATTTCTACCTCTCAGTGTTATTGTTAAGGTAAGTGATAAGACACATAGAGTATTTATGCTATCTATGGATGGAGATTTAATAAATTATATTAGTGTTCTTATTATCTTCATCTTCCTAATCATCCTAACCATCTACTGTTTATTAAGTCCTATATTCTAGAATTGTTCTAAAGGGTTTATGTGTCATATTTCTTTGAATTTGTACATCATAACTTAGGAACTTTAAAGAGTCTACCTAACATAGATAATAAGTAGTAAAGTTGGATTTAAGCCCACAAACCTGGATTTGATACCAGAGTTCCACTGCTTCCTTTTTAATAATACATTGTGGGGCTTAGTGTATGCCTTTAGGTCAGTTTTTATCTTCATGCTTCCTCACTGTACTAGGTATGATTCTTCAAATAACCATTTTCTCACATACTTTAAATTATCTCTAGTTTACTTATAATGCCAATTATTAATAATGTAAATGTTATACAAATATTTGTGATTTTGTATTGTTTAGGGGATGATGATAAAGAAGTATGTGTTTGGTTGATTATAAGGAGACAGAACCTGTAGATAAGGAGGGCTAAAATGACTTCACATGGGACAGTAAAGAAAGGGAAGAGAATCGTATGAGGTGGTTTAGGGGAATAGCATTTAAGAATCACATGAGGGCAGAGTCAGATACAAGACTCTAAAAACAGATGGCTGGCAAGTTAGTAAGGGCCCAGAGCCAGGTATTTCTCTTCGTAAGCAGGTGTTATGGAGAAGAAGCAGGTAGAAACTTCGCTCGAGTTCAAAGTCTTCTGGAAAATAGAGGTACAAAAAAGTCAGATCCAGGTAGAGTTTGAGAAGTTTAGAAAGGAAAGTAATTTGGTGGATATTGTGCAGTAGATTAGGACACAGTTTGAAACTGAAAGTTGAGTCGTGATGTAGGAGCCCAGGGAGGAATGTTGCAAAGACAAATGAATCAATGTGAATAATGATTCCAGCCTTGGAGAAAGCATTTTAGGGAAGGTCACCTGTGGTTTCTCTCTGACTTTCTAAGATATCCTAAAAATACTACGTGGATCCTCACCTTAGGTTAAGGAAATATGTCTTGGGTGGAGCCTGAGAGAGATCAGCTGGAGGGAGACCAGCTTTACAGATGCCACTGTAGTTCATAGAGATGGAAACTAGCGCCCTTAGATGTCTGTGTTGTGCCAGCACAGGTAACTCATGGGACTTCTGGAAACCATCTTCATAGTAAATCAAGCAGTCTTGATTGATTCAGGCTGATTCAGAGGTAAGAGTGAAGGGAATGAGACAAGCTCTTGGCTCAGAATCTGTTGCCCAATCAGTAACCCTGATCTGGGATTCTAGAACATGATGGAGCCTGGGCACAGATGCCTACAGAGTAAATGGTTACATTCAAAAGGTTACCACTTTTTCTCTAGAGAGAAAAAGTAAGAATTAAGGGCAGCATGAGGCTTTCCATGTTCTGAGGAGGTTCAGTCAATGAAGGAAACTGTGAGGTCTCCCCAAGGGCAGTAGAGGTCAAGGGGTTTCCAAAAATAAAGGAGAAGGAAGAATGAAAACAAAAGTCTATGGATTTGTTCTGCTGGGGTCAGTTTCAAAAGGAATTATGTCTTGGGTTCCTTGCTAGGAAGAGACCTCTGCCTACTCACCCTATAAAAATTATAAACTTCCCTCAAAGTGTTATTTTTCCTTGACACTTTCTGTCCATTCCGATCTTCATCTATTCCCCATTCCTCAGAAACTCAGTATCTTTGGATTTGGTGTAGAATGCTCTGCATTTTCACAGGGGTGGGAGTCTTGTAGCTTCCACATGGTGGAATTAAGTCAGCAGCTTTTGCTCATCACCAGAGGGATTGGAGCAGCAGCCTCCTACCTTGGATCTCTGCCTCCCTGTGGGTCCCACTGGTGTTTTCTCCTGAAGAAGCCAGTGCAATTTTAGGAGGCAAGTTAGATTATTGATAGCCCTGTTTAATGACTTTCTGTTACACTGGGAAAAAGAATCTGGGCTACCATAATCTTAGCCATGGCCTAGAATGGGTCACCTCGCCTCTCAGACTTCCACTCCTCCACTCCACTGCACCCTGCACTCAGCTGTGTGGCTTCCTTCTCTGTCTCTAGGCCAGTAAATCTTCCATTTCTTCTGTTTAAGATGTTCCTTCCCCAGAATTTTCCTATGGCTTTCTCTTCCTCACCACTCTGGGATTTCTCAAAGGGCTTCCCTTTAGCAAGAACTTCCCCAAGCACCCTAGTGTAGTCCCCTTGTCACTCCACGTCACCCTCTGTGATACCATCATACTGGCTTCTCCACAGCTCTATCAGTATTCAAATTATCTTATTTATTCTTTTGTATCTCATTCTTTATCCAAATATCAATATCATATATCTTCAGTCTTGCCCTAAAAAGTCTACAGTTCAGGTGGAATCCCCAGCCCAGAATAGGTACTTCATCAGCACTTTCAGGGGCAGACCAACTTGGCTTTGGATGGTCTGATACCTCTAAAGCCAAGATCCTATTTTCCTCATCTTTTTTCACTTCCCCAATCAGACCCTCCTTACATCTGATCTGAATATGACACCCTAATTTTGTGTCTTTCATAATACCTGGTTATGATCTTCAAAGAACTTTCCAAGTAGTTATTGATAAATACATGCATGTGTTTATCTTCCCATCAAGCTCTAGCAACACAGAACCTGTAGGCCATTGTACAATTCTGTGTTGGGTGCTTACTAGATGATTACTTGTTCTATACGAATGAAGATTCAAATATTCTGAATTTCTCCAACTTTAATCATAGAGTAAATTATGAAAAGCATAGCTGATGAAAGATTAGTAGACATTTTGGGTAAGACAATATAGATTTCCTTGTTATAGACTCTTCCATTTTGTACAAAGGCAATCAAATGATCTCATCTAGAGAAGGTTATTTGTATCCTCTTCTCCAGCAGAGCAACATGATGGACAGGCTGGACTTGATTCTGTCCAAGCTGGTGATAGGGGAGACATCTTGGTGCTGGTCTCCAAATCAGGGGCAGCCAGGATAGCCATCTACATTGTGGCTGGACAGGGAGCTTGCTGGCCACCAGTCAGAGGAAAGGCAGGCTCAGGGGTGATGGGAGGTAGTGTGCCAGCATCTGAAGTCTGGCTATCGTTTTCTTCTGTCCAGGTGTGTTGTTGCAATCTTGTGCAGTGCTCAGATGCCTCCCCTATGAGGAGGTCCAGCTGCTGCAAGGAAAACAAGGACAAAAGGAGTGAGTGACAGATCACATTTGCACCCAATACATAACTCAGACTTGGGAGAAAGGCATTCAGGTGATGTGAATTCTCTAGAATGAGCTCTTTCCAGCAGGTTATGGTAGGAATTTAATTTATATTGACTCAGGACTCAAGTTTCACCAAGCCTGTATTGTCTGTTCTCGTACAAAATGGTCAACAACACTTATTTACAGGTTAGGGTGAAGCTTGGCCTAGCAGATAGCTGCACTGAGTTCCAATCCCAACTCACCACCAGCTATCTGTGGGCTTGAGAAAGCAAGATATATGTCTTTATACCTAAAATACAGACATGGGGACATAAACTTGGAGTCCAAAATGGTTACACGGTCAGGCTTCTCACTGGATACCCCCTCCCATGGCTGCCTGGATAAAGTCCCACTCTGTACCCATGCTGTACCAAGAGAATCCCTTCTCTGATTTGCTGTGCCCGGTGTCCTAAGTGAAATTCCAATTCTGTCACCTGCTGCCTCAAGGCCTCACGTAAAGTTTGAAGTTGCTCAGCTTCCCACCTGCAGGTAAACAATAGAAAACAATCAAATTGAACAGTGGCTCCAGGTACAATTTTCCATTGTCCCTCTCTTATAATGTAGGTCCTGCTTTGGAGATTCTTAAAAGGGCATGCCACCTTCTTTATTAGATTCAGTTGCAGACATAGACTTGCTATTAGGTCATGTTTTATTCCCTGCAGCACTGCAGATGGAAGCCAAGGCTCATGCATACTAGATGTGTACTCCACCACTGTGCTACAACCTCAATCTGCTTTCTTTTTAAAAAACAACTCTATTGAAGTATGATTAACTTCTCATGAAGTTTTCCTGGCTTACACTGCAATTCACTGATGTGTAGCAAACTTATCAAGCTGTGTAATTATCACCAACAACAATTTTAGAATATGTCCATCTCCCCAGGAGGACTCTTCTTCCTCTTTTTATAATGAAACCCTGTTCTTACTCTGTAGTCCCCAGGCATTGAGGATGCATTCACTCTGGAGACTTTATAAAAACACATTTAAAAATAATGTAGATTTTTCTAAATTCTAATAACCTCCAACCTTTGTACTTGCAGGAGAGCCCCATTTGTATTGATTAAAGACATCCTGCTGGTATCCTCCCTCCTCCCAGCTGACTGTCCCTCTCTCGACCTTCTCAAATAGCCCTGGCCTTAAAGAACAAGTGTTCCCAGGTATCCAATGGCTCTCCCAGGCTCCCACTGTGAAAGCAAAAGTAAGATCATGAAAGCAAAGAAAACACTGGCCGATTTCTCATTAGCTCTGCTGCAGGGTGCTCACTGGTCCAGTCCTGCACTGATTACCTTCCCTTGCTCCAGGTGTCTGCACTGGCACTTACGTTTATGACTCCCTTAGATAATTACCTTTCCTCCTCTGACATGTCCCTGCAAAAGAATGTTTGCTGTTCCACCAGGTGCTGTTCAATTTCCTCTAAATGCTCCCGGAAACTCTGGCATAGCATCTTCATGGCTTCCATCTCACGGACAGTGCACTGAAAATAATTAGACAGTACTGAGAATAGGTCCTTTCTGATCCACTGGAACAGCTTTCCGAGGTAGGATCTGCCTTCTTATTCAGGAGAGACTTTGGCTTCTGGAAGCAACCAACCAGAGGCAGTACTTGGCTTTGATAGGGCAAAGTAGGTGGGTGGTGCTTGGGTGACAATCTTATATCTCTGAAAGCACAGGGCTATCAGAAGAATTAGGGAATATAAGAATTTAAGGGTGTGAACAAAAGAGAGCAAGAGGGAGAGAGTGTGTGTTAAGAACAGTTGAATCTTGTTTAATCTTCTGTAACTTTGGTGCTGAGTACCAAAAACATTGAATAGATCTATTCTGATGGTATGTCTTTGATTTAAAAAGTCTGCTCAGAATATGTTATACCAGTCTTAGCCCCACTCAGCCACAGTCCCTGGTGACTGAAATCCACAGGATCAGCTTCACCAGACTAGTCAGCTCACTGGCAAGTCAGGCCAAGTTAGGCATCCTATCCTCTCCAAGAGTGAAAAGCTAGGAATGAGCTCCTTCCTCCTCTTTGTGATCCCTCCCACACTTCCTGATGATTAGCCTTTAAATCGTAAATCTCTCCAGTACTGTGCTTTTGCCTGGGTTTCCTAACTTAAATACCTTCTTGAAGCCTTTGAGAAATGCAAAATTCTCTGCATATAACAACTTCAAGCTGCACTAAAAGATTTGACTGAACTCTAGCAGGACTTCTGATAACACAGGGCGATGCCCCACACATGACACCCCCCCCCCCACCTCCCCTTCTCCAGTTAAAATGGTCATCCAAGAAAGCTCCAGGTTACCAGGAAAATTAACTGTTTACTCTTACCAGTACTTGACCTAGGCCCCCGACCTAGACTCCTGACTTAGACCCCTGAGCTTTCTTTTTAAAAGCATATATTGAAAGAAATTTAAAATTTTGAACATGTATCTCTTACAACTCAGAAGTATCTTTCTCAGGGACCTGAAAGACAGTACTCATCTGCAAGACAAGGGACTATCTCCCAGGCTCTGAAAGAGGATGGAATCCTAGCCTCAAAACCTGTCAGCTCACAAACATAGCTGGTGTAACTGCATTTATGCTGACCAACCTTTCTGTGTCATTTTACTTTTTACTTCCTTGACTCTACAGAGCCCCTGCTCAGTTCTTTCCTTCATTTTTTTTTTAATGCTCAAATCACTTCTGCACAAAGTGGGATGGGGTTTAGCTCATACCAGTTCCAGTAGTTATGGAATAAAATCTGTTTTCCCTGCTTGAACTATCTTTGACATATCCAAGCCCAGTCCATTTATGCACCATTATGATTTACTGAAGCCTGATCAGCTCTTCCCTGGATTTGTAGCCTAGATTTGGTCCTGTGTTAAACAGACCCCAGACCCAGAAACCCAGGTCACTTCCTACATACCTTAAGGGACAGAAATGCTTCCTGTGAACTAAAACAACCTCTACCAGCCCTGCTCGCAGATCAGTGTGGCAGAAGCCTCTGGTTGTCTATTCACTCTTTCTTCTTTTTCCTCTTATTAACATAATTCTACATCTAAGGGGGCAGCAATGTGTTTGGCTAGAAAACTATACTTCCCAGCTTCCTTTGCAGATAAATTAGCCAAAAAAATAAATAAATAAATAAATAAATGGCAGCACTAAGCAGGGTATGGGGGCTTTGGAAAAGCTCATTTAAGGCTGGAAGACCTCTTAACCTTCTCCCAGATACTTACCTGACAATCAGACTAATTCCTCCAGCTGTTTCTAGGAAGTTCCAGATTTCTTACCTTTCCCGAAACTACATGACAAGATCCTAGAAGCCTGATGGATATTTTTAGTAGAATTTTCATCATTCAAATACTTTTCTAAGAGTGATTATTTGAATGATTAAACTCTCCATCATTTTGCTTTGAGAGTTAGTTTTGATTTTATCTTTTGATAATGCATTTTATATTGAAAAACTCTAATTACTTTTAGCCTTGGTATGAGTGAATCTGAATCAGACAAAGGAGGCTGAAACATTATGAATGTTAGCAAAAGCACTAGAAAGATAACTAGAAAAGATCTTGGAGATCATTACAGCTTCATTCACAAATAAGTGTTCTGCCAGAGAATCATTAACTGTACGGTCTGTAATCAAAACTGGCAATCATATTCAACCCAAGCCCCTGATTCATGGATCACAGCAGGAACTACAGGGGACCTGGACACATAGAAAAACTATCTATCTCTTAGGAAGGAGCAGATTAAGTCATTCAAGTTGAATCCATGACTATCCAACTGGTTCAAATTTAAACTTCCAGTGAGAATGAGGTCACAGCCATGGAAAGATGGTGCTCAAGTAGGCTAAACAGCACAGAAATTGGGATTTATGCTCCATCTAGACCTTTCTGGGTATCCCTTTGTGACTGAGGCTGTAGGGCTGGGGGTAGGAACTGGGAATAGCTCCTGGGGCATACTCTGGAAAAGGAGTGCAGAAGATTCGGAAATGATGCCATCTTCTGGTCGTTCAGAAACACTAAGTAATACATTTTAGCCTTGAAACAGGTAAAGAAAGTTTCCCCACTCCTTTACACAAGAAAGGAGTGGGGAAAAGAATGTATTTTGAACTGGTCAATTTTTTTCCTCCTACTATAAGGGCTCAGTTAGGTTCAAATACAGTGCAAGGTGTGTTCTACTACTGATCCAGAGCCATTAAAACCAACTTCATCTTCAACATTACGAGAAACAGTACAAAAAAACCTTCAATGGTGAGTTGGATTATGTTACTTTTAAAAATTTACATACTTGAGAGGAGGAGCTGGGCAGATCTGGGGTGCCCTCACTGGCCTCTCTGCGTGTCTGGAGGACTCTGGATTTCTGCGCCCAGACTGCTGGAGTTCCCTCAGGCTTCCAGGTGCAGTGAAGGAGAGAGGTGGGTTTGAGGCTTACCACATCAGCCTCCCCATTCCCGGCTTCATTTGGAGACCTGCTGAGCTCCCGATAGGTGGGCTGGCCCACACTACCAGCCTAGTCCAGGCTGTTTAGCTGCCGCGCCTGGCCATAGGTCTGCAGAGGAGGAGCTGGGCAGATCTGGGGTGCCCTCACTGGCCTCTCTGCATGTCTGGAGGACTCTGGATATCTGCGCCCAGACTGCTGGAGTTCCCTCAGGCTTCCAGGTGCAGTGAAGGAGAGAGGTGGGTTTGAGGCTTCCACATCAGCCTCCCCATTCCCAGCTTCATTTGGAGACCTGCTGAGCTCCCCATAGGTGGGCTGGCCCACACTACCAGCCTAGCCCAGCCTGTGTAGCTGCCGCGCCTGGCCATAGGTCTGCAGAGGAGGAGCTGGGCAGATCTGGGGTGCCCTCACTGGCCTCTCTGCGTGTCTGGAGGACTCTGGATTTCTGCGCCCAGACTGCTGGAGTTCCCTCAGGCTTCCAGGTGCAGTGAAGGAGAGAGGTGGGTTTGAGGCTTCCACATCAGCCTCCCCACTCCCGGCTTCATTTGGAGACCTGCTGAGCTCCTGATAGGTGGGCTGGCCCACACTACCAGCCTAGCCCAGCCTGTTTAGCTGCCACGCCTGGCCATAGGTCTGCAGAGGAGGAGCTGGGCAGATCTGGGGTGCCCTCACTGGCCTCTCTGCGTGTCTGGAGGGCTGTGGATATCTCTGCAACCAGGGAGGGTCCACAGGTTCCTGAAGCACTGCGGCCTGTGGTGAGTACCCTAACCCGGCTGCGATTGAAGAACTGTGGAGCTTCCAAGGGGCAGGTGGGCGCACAGTGTCCCTGAGGCCCAGCTTGTCTGGAACTGCGGAGTTCTGAGCAGGCAGAGGAGGGCCACTGGTTCTGTAGGCCTAATGGCTTGGAGTAGCGCGGCGCCAGAGTCCCAGTAGCTCCAAACATAGAAGGGGATTTTCAACAGATCCTGAGGAAGCTTTCAAATAACACTTGAAACACAGAAATATAGGACAATGACAAAACGAAAGACCAAATTACAACCTCAAACCTCCAGCCCATCTCAAGAAACCCTAGGAGCGATGTATATAGAAGAAAATATATCCCATCCACCTCATATATCGGACACAATAGCCACTGAAATTGACAAGCAACTCCAGGAAGCTTTAAAGAAATTCAAACTCGAAATAATCTCCCAGATAAAAGAAGAATTGATAAAATAAATGAAAGAGATTCTAAATATATCTAAAGAAAACACAGATAAAAAATTGGAGGAACTAAACAAAAAGATAGAATCCCTAGACGAGCAATATAAGAAACAAACAGAATACATAATGCAGATGCACAGAGATATACAGGAGATAAAAAACTCCACTGAAAGTTGTAAAAACCGCCTTAATGAAAGTGAAGATAGAATTTCAGACCTTGAAGACAGGATTGCAGCTAGTGAACAGGAAAGGAAAGATCTTTTGAAAATAACAAGGAACCAGGAAACAACAATTCAACAACTGCAAGACGATGCAAAGAAGAATAACATAAGAATGATAGGGATTAATGAAAGAGAGGGAGACAACATGAAGGATGTCAGGAGGATATTTAGAGAAGTAATAGCTGAAAATTTCCCAAGCATGAGATCAGAAACTGACATCAGGATCAGTGAAGCATATAGAACTCCAAACAGTCATAACCAAAATAAAACTACACCCAGACATATAATAGTCACCATCCCAGAAATCCAACACAAGAATAGATTATTAAAAGCTGTCAGAGAGAAAAGACAAATCACTTATAAAGGAAAACCTATCAGAATCACAGCAGACTTCTCAGCACAAACGATAAAGTCAAGAAGAGCATGGAGTGAAGTATTCCAGATCCTAAAGCAAAATGATTTCCAACCAAGACTGATATATCCTGCAAAACTATCATTCAAAATAGATGGTGAAATACGATACTTCCATGACAAAGAACAGCTGAAGAACTTCATGAACACCAAACCAACCCTGCAAAAAATATTGAAAGACAGTTTAGATACACAAAGGAAAAAACCACTAAGCAAAGCAAATAATTAAACA